TGCACACTAGAGTACACTGGTACATTTGGAGTACACTGGCACACTAGAGTACACTGGTGCATTTAGAGTACACTGGCGCACTAGAGTACACTGGTGCATTTAGAGTACACTGCACACTAGAGTACACTGGTGCATTTAGAGTACACTGCACACTAGAGTACACTGGTACATTTGGAGTACACTGGCATACTAGAGTACACTGGTACATTTAGAGTACACTGCACACTAGAGTACACTGGCACATTTGGAGTACACTGGTACATTTGGAGTACACTGGCACACTAGAGTACACTGGCGCACTAGAGTACACTGGTGCATTTAGAGTACACTGGTGCACTAGAGCACACTGCATATGAGACTACACTGCACACTAGACTACACTGCACACTAAAGTAGAGCAACATCCTCATGCAAAGCAAAGTGTGCTGAAATTAGAACAATAAATGCTTAATAAACTAAAACCCTGGGGAGTTCAAACCAACAAGCAAGACCATTCCTACATAGTTCATTTTAACACCTTCAGATTTAAGAGGTATTTATAACTAAAATATAATCACAAGGTATTTTTCTCCAATAACGTGATTTGCACGGATTGAAATGAAAGCATTGCCAAAAACTGAAATCATCTGGCCACATATGAATCACCCTCCAAATGTATTTAAATTCAAATAATTCCAGCTATTCATAAATTGTTCTCAAGAAAAACATAAACCTATCCAGATCTAAAGGCTGAGACCATAATTACCGAAGAACAAATTCACACGTCGAATATGTAGTTAAAACACTTCTCATACATGTTGAAACCAATTCAATTAAGGTTGAAAGAAAAAAATATTTTATTACTACTTTCTACTTGAAATATGTCGTGATAGTCAATTAGCTAAAAACAAAAACAAAAAAAAAGACAACTTTTTCTGGTCAAAGACAGGGGAAACATGGATAATTTCAGAAATCTTGGAACTGTTGAAACTGCCTAAGTGTAAATTAATTAATTTGACATCGATCCTCTCAGATCAGGTTTTGTTAGCATAAGGCACTAAGGTCACTGAAAATATAATCAAAGTTTAAAAAATTTTAACCTAATATTTAGAAAGGTATTTAAACACATGTCTAGATCTTCATATTTGTATGAAATTTCACCCAAGCTCACAGCAGGATCCTATCGCAGGTATTTAAGTACTTGAATGAATAAATCAAAGTGGTGGGAGAATGACATAAGGGGAGGATGTGGGCCCAAACATGTATTATCTGGAAGTAATTTCTAGTTTGGTGATCAACGTTTTTATGAGCACATTAAAAGAATGTACTAACTTGAGAACAGCATGCATATATCAGTATTTGTATTAATTTCTTTGCAGACATTTAACAAAATTTTTGGCTTAAAGGAAAAATTTTAAATTGCTCATTTACACTTCTAAACCAAATGCCAGGCACAGAAGATTTCTAAAACCAAAGACCTAAGACTTATTAAGAAATCCTCCCTATTGAATGAAAAGTAAAAAATCCTTGTATGACTTTTACTCAATTACTAAATCTTTTTCCATTTATGTAATATTAAGATATACCTGGCACAGCAAACCAATGGTGAAAAAAGTGGTTCCATAGAAAGTGGTTCCATTCTCACTCCACCAATGAGATTACTTTTTCAAGTTTTTAAAGAGAAAGGAGTAAAACTGTATGTGGGCGGTGTTTGTAAAAGAAATTTTCATTCCTTAGGTGTACTTATTTTTTTTTGGCCTGCACTTTCACAACTCTAGGCTATGTCTTAAGACTGAAGATACAAACTGATGGCCTATAAACAGGTTTTCTTTGTTCTGATTAATACTTTAAATTTTTAAAATTTCATTGCTTTCATTTAAATGGCAGAAATTTTCACATAAAAATCCTGACATCTGATGTCAGAGAATCGGAAGTCCTGGCAACACCACACTTGGACAACGACCAATAGCTGGAGCTGAGACACGGCTGCCTCTTTCAGACAGGACCTGTCATTGTCCCCACCTCTTTACTTCTCCTTGGCCACCTTCTTTCATTAATATTATCCATCCAGGCCCTGTAGGCATTTCCATTTTTGGCTTCCACCCTCGCCTACCTCATCTAACAATCCTTTTGTGAATTAGAAGAAAATTCAATATGGAACTCATAAATTTCCACTGGACTTCTAGAAAATAAATTAATGAAATACCTCCCAGGGAAGAGGAAGGAGTTCTTTGAAAAGTACATGGGTTCCCCTCCTCGTCTTTTTCAATCTTTCCCTTCTTGATTACTACATGTCAGTGATGTATGCTGACATTACCATTAAATTATTTCTAGTTTATAAGTAGGCATGACAAAATGTACTGATTCTTCTTCAAGGATCACTATACAGAGCACTTTATGATAAGCAATCTCATCCATTAATGCACACCCAACCTCTTTCACTGGGAAGCTGACTAAACCAACCTAAAACTAAAATTGTCACTGAAGATGCAGACAACAAATCAATCTGCAATTATGTACGATCGAGAACTTCTAGAAGGAAACAGATGGTTTATGATCGGCAATTATTAGGAGCCAGGGTAAGTTCATCAAGAATAAGACACCAAATAGATGTCACTTTCTATTTATATAAAATTAACACATTGGTTGATCAGAAGCATGTGGTAGAAATTGTAATGATTTCAAAAGAGCTCTCCATGAAATTTCCTGTAAGATAACAAGGTAAAACATGGGCTGGATAATGAAATATTTTTAACTGGCAGAATAATCTTTCCCCCAAAATTCTGAATCTGTGTCATTGGGAAAAGAGTTCTCTAGTAGAGCACTAAAGGGTTTGCTTGCTTGAGCGACCTCACTCTCTAATCGCTGGGTATTTAACATTACTTTTTATCACTAACTTGAAAGATAAAAAACATAGCTACCAAATTTGCAAATAACACAATGCCGAGATATATAATGGGACAAATGACAGAAACAATGTCTGAAATGACTGAGCTAGAACAAATGGACTGAAAAGAATATGACATTTAATAGAGATATATATGTATCTGCAGTTAGATTCAGAGAGCCAACTAAAAATGTCAAAGACAATTAGAGAGGAGGGGACACTGCTTTAATAACACTTCACACGAAAAAAATCTGATTTCAATTAACCCCAAGATTAATACACATCCACAGTGGGTTGGGGCTTCTACACAGTGAGTTCATGCAGTAGACAGGTGCTGTCCTAACTGTGGAACATGACTGCCCACCGTTATGCCAAGTCAGATTACACTTGAAGCACCATTCTCCATTCTCAGGGGCACTTGTAAAGAGGTACTCTGAACACCTAAGGGGCTTTCGGATGAGGGAAACGAGAAATGATGAGATCACTAAACCGACTAAGTTAAGAAACAGCTGAAAGAAATGGGGATGTTCTACCTGGAGAAGAGAAAATTAGGGGAGACATGATGGCCGTCTTCAAATGTCTGAAGGATTGCTATGTTGAAGAGGGAGTAGAATAGTCGTATGTTGTTCTAAAGGGCAGAACTAAAACTAAAGGAGAGAAAGTTAAAGGGCAATCATTTTAGTAAAAAAAAAAGAAAAAAAAGAAAAAAAAGCAGAAGCAAAAACCTTCTCCAATGAGGAAAGCCATCAGCAGATAAACAATACTCTCTCAAGAGGGCTCTCAGGAAGTCAGTCTAAGGGGAGGTTAGGCCAGGTGAATCCAGGTGAATCTCTTCCAACTATACCATTTTTGACTCCACAGCTCCTGAATGTTGTTTGGTTTGAACTAGCCTTGCATTTTCTCAGATAGCCATCATGAGAGAATCTGTGTTACTCTTTCTTTATAAGGTGCCATTCAAAAGACAAGAGGCAGAACTTCACCACCAAATGAGAGTGGTGATCCCTTCAAAGCAATCACCTGAGACAGCTGTGTTCTTATTCCAGAGCTGATAGTGCTCAAAAAACACCACTGAAACTCTTGTATGATGCCTGAAGAGTCCGTTTCTGATTCATATAAGATATAGCCTCACCGTTTAGTAGCCATGTCTATACTGCTGGTGGACACAAACCAGCCTACTCATTTGGTACAGTTCCGGCCCTCAGTGGGAGTCCAACAGTAACCCAAATAAGATTCATTTCTAACCAAAATCTACTTAGCTTGATCGTGTGTCTTAATTAAGCCCTACTCCCAATGACATCTGGATGATTTAAAAAACCTAATTCATAAAAATTTGACATTAGATACAAATTAATATTACATTAATTAGGCTCTTAAATGTTCACAAAATGTAAAATCAATTTGAACAAAGGCAGCATGACCAGAATAAGAACATAACTTCCAAGTTTATTGCTTTGAGGGAATGTATACAACCTATTTTGTTGTTGCTGTTGCTCTTTTTTATGTTTTATGTTCTAGGCAAACTTCATGTGTTGGGTTCAGTTATAAAGACCTAAAAAACTAGTGCTATAGATCTTTTTCCTTTTCCATATTCCTTTGAATCCTTAAAGTTGGCTATTGTCTTCTTTTCAAATAAATATCCAAGGTACTTAAAACGTGAAAAAAAAAATTATAAATAATTTAAACAACAGAAGTTTTTCAAACCAAAGACATTGTTCACATTAGCATGGTTTTATAAGTTGTACTATTTTAATGCAAGCTGAATACATTATAACATTTGGGATCAATGTCTCTTTTCCTTACTAAAGTCCTAATCTATTTCTGCAACTCTCAGTCAAAAGATTTTCAATTTCCCTACACATTTTTATCCTCTAATTTAAAAAATACTTTAACTTTCTGAATTAAAAAGGCAAAAATCTTACTTTATAGTCCCCTAAATATATCTACTAATTTTTAAACACTGAGGATGATTCCAGAACTAAACATTGTCACCACAGTGAGAATTTTAGTGGAAGTTAGTTGGGCATCAGTTGGCTTGTTGTCTTGGTAGTGAGTATCTATGTAATAAATAGTCATCCACTTTTTTCCTTTTGTATTTTAACAGAATGCCTGGTACCCAGTAAATAAAGTTAAGAACCTGTTAAGAACTGCAGTGAAGATTTTGTTCTTTACAGATTGCAGCAAGTCTGAGTTGAGGAAGCTCTGACAGATGCAAAAGGTACACCTGTTGCAGGTGCACATACAGCGTAACCGGGCATGGCTGCGAAAACACACAGAAGGACAGGAGTTGAGTTCTTACTTACAAATATGGCACAAGTCAGAGTGTGCCAACTTTAAAAAAAAAAAGACTTAGGCATAAGCAACACTAAGGAAAAGGACAGCGTGGGGCATGCTAAAGTTGTGCAGAATTCCACGTTTACAAAAAATATAATCAACAGCAATAGCTCCCTCCTCCCTCCCTATAGGAAATCTGAGGAAAATCAGCTAACACATTTGCTTTTTTTGGAGGGGGGATAGAATTATTAGTACAAGAGTTTTAGTGGAATAAATATGCACAGCAATAGATGGCACCCTCATCTAAATCAATAAAAGAAAAACTGAGTAAGCCACAGCATCCACCGAAAGGTCAGAGTTGGCTAGCATTGAAATAACCACCCCCTCCTCCCTCAGGATACACACATGCCTGAAAACCAGGAAGGAGAATAGTGACAAATACACAAAAAAGTCAAAAGACGAGTATGTATATTCAACCTGAGGAGATATGAACATCATCTTTAATCTATCAAGCACCATGGCTCCCCAAGGAAATCAAAGTGCTTCCATATATTTCTACTTGAACCCAAAATATGGGGTTAATTTTCATCTGCTACCAGCAGCTAAGTATCTGCTAACATAGCAGCTAAGTATGATAACATGAAACTCTGGGTAAGGGTGTAAAAATCAACAATGGATCCAATTGATCTTAGATACGAAATTTAGGGAGGCTTTCTGACTCCTTTCTGGTTGAGTGAGTTGCACTAGTTGGTACAGGCACGTGGAGCCATTTAACCTCCACTTAAAAACCAAAGTAGGGGGTCCCCAATGACTGCTCAGGGGTCAGAGCCACTCAGACATACAAGGCCATCACACCACCCCTCAAGAGGTCCTGGCGCAGAACCCACTCAGAAGAGTGCTACCTGATGAATCAATTACATCCCTTCCTGTAACACCTGAACATTTTTTAAGCTTCTCTAAAGGAGAAGTCCTTCTCAAAGGACTGGCCCAAACTGACTTGGCTTAGCTTGTGAGATCTGATGAGACCACAGCACACGGTGGCATAGTTGTGGAGATTAGCAGCATCCCAATAATGCCTAATTCTCAACATGAAGAAAAACAAGAATTAATTTTTCAAAAGACTCTTATAGGCTCGAGATACTCCATTTTAAAATTTGACTTGTGATGATGAACACAGCACTGGTACTAAGTCACTGCCAGCTGTCATACTGGAATCCATCTGTTATTTTATAATTGAATCTGACTCTTCAACATACACAGGCTCCGCCCACCAAAAAGGAGGGATGCAAAGTATGCTTAGCAACAGGGAGATGCTTCATGAGAAGTAATTCTGGATTAACCATATAAACAAGTGTCCATGTATGTACATTTATCATATACACACGTGCACACACACACACACACACACTCACAAATACTGCAGTAAAATTTTAAAATATGCAGATCAAAAAACACAGTTGCGGTTATTTACAAGATTAAGATAGTGCATTTACATAGTAAAAAAAAAAAGACACCATAGTATACAGCTAGGCAGTAAGACTGACCAAGCAGTGCGTTTCTGGATAATTACTAATTATGGTGAAAGAGATCTGGTCATCTATAAGAAAAGTCAACAAAATCCCACAGAAACCATAAAGAAAAAGTAACTTACAAAGGAAGCCATAAAGAAAAAGTAACTTACAAAGCAGTTTTTAGAAAGACCCAGATTTTTCTCAAATTCTCTATTCTATCAGTGTTGCCCATGTCTCGGTAGAGTCTGTCTTTGTAATGATCCTCTCTGTAGATAACATACATGAGAGTTTTAAAGCAAAGGTAAAACAGAAATAAGGTTTTGCTTATCTAATAGTAATAGGAATGACTTCTCTTCCAATACAAATAGAATTTCAAGGGTTTGCTGCATTTTTTTAAATGTATTAGTTAATGAAATAGCAATAAAATTAACTCTGCTTTGAAAAACCTGTACAAATTAACACCCTTTTTGAAAAACCTCAGCTTCTAGCAATTTTTGAGTATTACTCTGTTATACTGTAGTTTTCATAAGAAAAAAATAACTTAGAGAATAACATAATAATAAATAAAATAAACTATGAAGTTCTGAGAAACGCACTGCCTGAAAAACTACCTTGTCACAGAACAGAATTTATACGAACACAGTACTTGAGGAGAATGCCATTAAGAGCCATGCAATTTTAAGGCAGTTAGTAAACTACAAAGATGAACACAGTTATGTGCTTGTGTATATGCATGTATAGATATACAATAAATGTACATAAAATTTGTGGCTCATAACACTTAATGTAAAACATTTATATAGAGGGAATTCCAATTACAAATGCTTTTAACAGCACTAAAAAAAGATGTTATATCCTGAATTCAAACATACTCATAATTTAAACAAAGATTCATAAAAGATTTTAGAATCCTTCACATACTCAAAGTCAATTAATCAGAAAAAAATATAAAAATGAAATTTTTGTTCATATGAAAATGCTTTATTAGCATGATGTCAATCCCACTTAATGGCAGTAAGACTAATTTTTTTAATGCTGGGTGAGGGGCTGAGTTTTACTGTACTATCCTATTAAGATAGTCACAGCCTGACAGATATTGTCAGATTATATATACTTTATATAATTATATTTATACAATTTTATTCTGGTATTCAAACTAAACTTGCATTTACTCAAACTTATCCCTTCTCATTACTAAGTCTCTGTTGCTGAACAACTTCCATGTGACAGAGATTCCACCCTCATGGCTAACAATGACATGCGATGTTACCACGAACCATGCAACATGAAAATGATGGCAGAGCAAGTACTTACGGGTACATGGCCATCGTTGTCAATTTAACAAAGATATCTTTACTGGGTGCATCAGCAGTATTGCAAGTGAAGGCTTGTGGTGGAGGCATTTTGTGTTTCCTGCAGAAATCAGTAGGTGAAATACTATACTCTTGTTTAACTTCATGCAGGTCTGACTTTGCAGCTACGATTAAGCAAGGTATTCTGCTGTCCATAAAGTGTTGCTATAGAATAAAAAGTGAAATCAAAATCTGATGACAAGCTAAAAAATTACTAAATTTCATTCAAGGGGCACTGAAATTTTTCTCTAGATAGGCAAATCATCAACAGTTTCAGGGAGAAAGTGAATGAAGAGGCAAGGACTGGCAGTTATCTAGGTCAGTGACATAATAAGACCAGGGCCACTTTTCTAATGCAGATAACGATACAAACCTATAACAATTCTTTGAATTCACTATAATTAAAAAAGAATTTTTTTAAGATCTAATACTTTGAAATAGAAATCTACCTAAATTCTTCTATCCTAAAACACACTATTTTCATTTTTTTATATTACCTCTAGTCCTTAGGGCTTCCCTGGTAGCCCAGGACAGTAAACAATCTGTCTGCAATGCAGGAAACCTGGGTTCAATTCTTAGACTGGGAAGATTCCCTGGAGATGATGGGCATGGCTACCCACTCCAGTATTCTTGCCTGCAGAATTCCATAGACAGAGGAGCCTGGCGGGCTACAGTCCATGGGGTCGCAAAGAGGCATGACTAAGCAATTAACACTTTCACTTTCTAGTCCTTAAGCACATGCATATATATATATGTATATATATACACACACAGACACACACACACACACGGATATTTACATAGTGGCAGTCATGCTGGATATTACTATTGAAAAATACTGAATTTTCCATGTTTTCAGAATTCAAAACCATTATTTTTAATGACTATATAAATTTCACAGGATCATTTTATCTCAATTTGGTAAGCTACCCTCCTATTTTTAGATATGTGTATTATTTCCAGGTTTTTGCTATTAAAAACAATCCTAGAATAAATTCCTTTGTACATAAAGTTTTTTTACTCTTACTGAATCTTGTTGACAATTTCAAAGTAACTTACAACTTTTGAAGCCTCATGTTTATCTCGTTGCTCTATTAATCTTCTTGGTATAATTGGCAATATGTAAACCATGTGCATTCCTAAGAATTTTCACAAATGTAGAGGTTCTTAACCAGGGACGAACATCCGAATCACTTGTGGAAAAAAGTATTTTTTAAAATACAAATGTCTGGGACTGTACCACCTCAGAATGAAACCAGAACCTTTAGGGATAGGATGTATGTATCTTTAAAAAGCTCCACAGATAATTTTCTTGCATTTCCTTGGTTAGAAAACACATTACTATTCCATTAAACTCCTTACAAAGTTAAACTTAGTTATGGGCCAAAATTGAAACAAACCTTAAAAATCCTGGCACAGTATTCAAAGGATTTAGGGTTATTGACATCATATACCAGGCACACAACATCACAAAGGATCTCAGCCTCAGTCAAAAATTCAGATTCTGAGATATCATGCAACTTGGAAAAGAAAAAGACAATGAGAAACATAAGTATCATAACACTGATGCAAAATTAAAGTCATGATGTTTTATTACTTGCTTAACTTGACTTAATTTAAAAATACTAGTTAAAAAAAATACTAGTTAAGCATAATTTTTCAGACTCATTAGAAGACACAGAGATAAACAAGTAGCTTTCTGATTTTTGTAGATGAAAAATTGTGATTAAGGTCCTACAGAAACTAACATTTAGTGAGTGACTATAAGTGTGCTGGGTAGGCCCTTAACATGCATTCTCTACCTACTAAAGATAACAAGCAGGTTACAGAGATTAGGTCAACTGCCAAAGATACCTCAAACCAAAATTTGAATTCAGATGATTCCCAGTGGGAAGCCTAGGTGGCGCAGTGGTAAAGAATCAGCCTGCCAAGCAGGAGACCTGGCTTCACCCTTGGGTCGGGAAGATGCCCTGGAGAAGGAAATGATAACCCACTCCAGTATTCCTGCCTGGAAATTCCACGGACAGAGAAGCCTGATGGGCTACAGTCCACGGCGTGGCAGAGTTGGACATGACTGAGCACATAAACACGACTCCCAAGTCTTTTTTCTTTCTACCACACCACTCTTCCTCCCCACCAATCAAAAACACAAAGCAAAGGATAGTACATTAAGGTTATCACTGACCACAGATAAACTACCACACACCTGCACTAAAACCTTCAAACTAATTTCTAGTCAACAGTAAAGGATGTAATTTTTAAAAATATAAATAAAAGAAAGAGCAAAGTGGATTGAATTTTTTTTTTACTTTTTTTATGGTGGTATTACATACAAGTAAGCACACAAATAGATAAATTTTTACTTGTATCTACACCCATGTAATCACCACACAGATTTAAGAGAATTAAAATTAAATCTAATGACTAAGTCAGGTAGAAAAATAAAACCACACAAAAGCTGTTAAATCAAATCCAGTTATGTTCTCAAAGAGTCATTTTAAAAATGTACCCAACAATTAATAATCTTTATATGCCAGAAAACTTCTTACCAACAAATATTTCTCTTGTCCATAGACATAAACAGTGTTAATTGCATAGAATGATTTATGATCATCGCGAATTTTCTTCTGCCTCTGAAAAACAACCAAAAATCTCAGTATTTACAGTAAGAAATCACAGTAACTAGTTTTCATCAGCACATGTACTTTGTGTGTATGTGTGGGTGTTACCAAAAAAAGGATATTCTTCCCTATGCTATATATTATTTATCAGTACAAAGAGCATATTGATTTTGTTTCTTAGTTCTTAGGCTCTAAAATAAGAGATGCATTTGTTCTGTAGAAAGGGAAAGCAGTAACTGACAAGGAAGTAAACTGCACTCACTGAGCCACCTGCTGGCAATTCTCATTACACTGTGATTTGGCCTGCTAGTTCACCTGAAAATATGTCAACCTCTTTACTCAAGGCAGTAGTCACAATCAGATATCAGCAATGTAGAATGCTACATTTACTTCATGCCAAGCCCTGTGTCTGATACTTTCGTACGTGTATTTATTTAATCTCCATCTAAAAGTTAAAAAAAAAAAAAGATGGCTAACACCAATGAAGCAAAGATAAAGCTAGTTCAAAGAGATTACTGTTACATTTTAGTTGTACTTTACTATTACACCTATATATCATCTAAAAAGGTCAATGGTTATGAAAAAATTATATAAACACATGACTAAAAATCTGAGTAAAGTTCTAGCTTTCTGAGCTCTCACCATTAAGTTTCTTCCAAGAAGAGCCTGAAGAACTCCACTTTTCCCACAGTTTTTCATCCCAATTACATTACATCGGAACACGTTCCTTTGAGTTTGCTTTTTCTGAAGGTCTATCTTTTTATCTCTTGTTACTAAAAAGGAAAATAAAAAGCTAATTATGTACCACGTACACTCACTGAGCCTTCACTTCGCCTTCTGCAAAATATGATACTGCTATTTATTATTTTTATGAAGCATTTGATCAATAAACAAACTGTATGATAGCCAACCTGTATGTAAAATGAAGTACAGAAGATAATACAGAAGGGCCTCTTTAGTGAAAAAGGTACATTTCTGAAAGTCAGTTACAACTGACTTTTTCTAGTAACCACGTATTTATTTTATCATAAAATAAGTAGTACCTTTACATAAGAAAACAGTATCCCCAAAATGAACAAAAATTACAATGAATGTAGCACACACTACATCCCATCTTTTTTTCTATTACTGTCGTAACAAATTATAAACTGAAAGATGCCACCTCAAAACCTTACTCTCTTGGGTCTATAAAGAGAAAGGTGATAGGCACTCTAGATTTCCAAGGTAAATCTGTAAAAGAGGCAGTGCTGAAAATAATCCTGTATCAGCAGAGCAACGGGCATCTTTCTTGAGGGAAAGAGACCTCCTTAAGCTGCACCCAAAGATTTGACTACAAGAAAGCTCACCAGAGACACTATTTATAATAGCAAAACACTGAAAATGATAAAAAACACAAAATTATAGATAGTTCAGTAAGTTATAGACTATCCATATGATGATACATTATATAATATTAAAGATATATAAAATACACATTGACAATAGAAATACGTCCACAATATTTTGATGAGTACAAGAACCTCATGCTGGCTAATTAGTTCCTTATTCTTTGGTGCTGAAGTAAATATTGTCTAATTGGTTAAGTATTTTAAAGGGTACTTGCTCTGTCAATTTCACATAAGCTGTCTTCTTGTAACAGGGCTTCCTGTAAGATACATGCCTATTTTTTCCCATCAATTAGGATATAAAAACTTCTTGAAATGATCAGTTCCCTAATTTATTATTTCGTATTACATCTATATATTTTTTTAAGTGGAGCACACTGTTTGGCAAGGATGCCTGTTTAACATTACAAGATCTATAAAAGATTTATTAACGTGGTAAAAAGTTATAAAACTGAGATGTACAATCAGTTCAATATAAGGATCATGTGTTAATACGTTTTTAATGTTTAAAGAAAATTAAAACACAAGATGGACTGTAAATACTTTTAATGCCTACCAGTTCAGTTCAGTTCAGTTCAGTCGCTCAGTCGTGTCTGATTCTTTGGGACCCCATGAATCGCAGCACGCCAGGCCTCCCTGTCCATCACCAACTCCCGGAGTTTACTCAAACTCATGCCAATCGAGTCAGTGATGCCATCCAGCCATCTCATCCTCTGTCGTCCCCTCCTCCTCCTGCCCCCAGTCCCTCCCAGCATCAGGGTCTTTTCCAATGAGTCAACTCTTCACATGAGGTGGCCAAAGTACTGGAGTTTCAGCTTCAGCATCAGTCCTTCCAGTGAACACCCAGGACTGATCTCCTTGAGGATAGACTGGTTGGATCTCCCTGTAGTCCAAGGGACTCTCGAGAGTCTTCTCCAACACCACAGTTCAAAAGCATCAATTTCTCGGCACTCAGCTTTCTTCACAGTCCAACTCTCACATCCATACATGACCACTGGAAAAACCATAGCCTTGACTAGACGGACCTTTGTTGGCAAAGTAATGTCTCTGCTTTTTAATATGCTGTCTGGGTTGGTCATAATGCCTATAGCCTTTCCTAATTTTCATCCATGACGTACCCTCAGGGGTAGACTAGAAGTAAAACCTTTACTCTTTCTTTCTTGATAAACAAGAAATCAAGCATTTCAATTCAAAAGAGATTATCAAATCATGGGCAAACAAGAGTATAGACAGGAAGACTAATGAAGATGCATTTATTTTCACTCTTTTTACATATGAAACTGGAATCTTGAAAAAAGGAAAATCTAATTAAAGAGTATTTACACACTTACCCGTGATGGCTGAAGCCTGAGATTCTTGTTCAGTCAATATTGAATAACCTAGATAACCCAAATATTCCAGGCACCGCTGTACATCTAAATAGGTCGTGAGCCTAGGAAAAAGTTGAAAATGCAGGGTTTCTAAAAGAATATCTATTTTAAAAAATCACAACAGCTCAAATAGCTTTATTTGACCAGACCGAGATAATTTTTGTCAGACTGCTTTAATTTCCCATGTGCCCAATCACAGCTCTTCCTACTGTGACATTCTTAGGGTAGAGAAGAAAGAGGAGAATGCAACATAAGGGGTGGAGGGGGTCCCTGTATCTACTCCATCGGCCTGGAGAGAGCAAAGCCACACAGATGAGCAGTGAGCACCAAGAGCACCCAGTGCTCTAGGTAAGATCTAAAGCACAGATATTTTATGTTATCTGCTTCCCAAGTTACATACTGTACTGCAAATACGGGCTAAGTATTTGTAGTAAGTATTAAGTAAGGACTTAATACTGAAAGGGTTTGCAAAAGGTGCAAAACTGAAAGAGTGAAAGGCACTTGAAATTAATTAGCCTTTCTTATGAGCTGAAAAAAAAGAACAGATCCTGGTGTTGAGAAAGTTATTCTTACCAAAGCTAAAGTATTAAATCATTATGCACAGGCAGAGGATTTTCCTATTGCCCTAGACAATAAGTCAACTTTGCTGTAACTAGACTGTAGACACCTCACTAAGCCTAAGAGTGCATTCAAAGCAAATAACAATCCCTCAAAGTGTCTTCCACTTTGTAAAATAATGCTCTCCCCACATTCCAAAAAATATGAGTTTCCCAGGTGGTGCTAATGTTTAAGAATCTGTCTGCCAATGCAGGAGATATAAGAGACTAGGGTTTGACCCCTGAGTCAGGAAGATTCCCTAGAGAAAGGCATGGCAACCCACTCCAGTATTCTTGCCTGGAGAATCCCATGGACAGAGGAGCCTGGCGGGCTACAGTCCATGGGGTTGCAGAGAGTAGGACATGACTAAAGTGACTTAACACACTCTTATTCCAAAAATAAAAGGACTGTGCAATAACAGTGATGATTCCTATTCCCTTAACCAAAAAAGTATCAAAACACAACATTGCAAATCAACTATACTCCAATAAAATTGTTTTTAAAGTATTAATGTTCAGTTCCATTTTGATATTACTATTTCCTTGTACATAATCCAAAAGCAAGCACATCCCTTCCTTATAAATTTATAAACATCTAAAGTTCATCTTAGAGATAGCAGTGGCACTATATTAATAAATCCTGCTCACAGGCAGCTAAGATTGAAGCATTTCATAAGATCTGACAAATTCACAAAATAATGCATGTAATGCACCACAATTTCAAAGCAGCTGTAACTCTAGAGGAAAGAAGTGAGCTCTATACTCACGTCCACTGGGAAAGGAATCCCTGGTAGGTTATCCAGCCTTTTTCATTTGTACAAACTGTGTTATTCACATCTGGCCCCCAAGGTATGTAAGGGAAAACTTTAAACAAATCTTTAAGCTCATCAGGTGACAAAGCACAGTCTCTATCCTGAAGATACACAAGGAAGTATACATAATGTTTAGATATCTAAGAGGATAATTCCCAAACACAAGAGCCTCCTAATCTTGTAAAGCTATGCTTCCAAAAACCCATGAAAATAAATTTCACATTTTATCAAGAAAACTCCTTGCATGTATGTACAGAAGCCTATGCAAGAATCTATCAGAAACTAGACTTTTTCATCTTGAGAAAATAATAAAGTAAATAAGAAAAAGTATTTTTGCTAGTTTTAAGAGCTTTTGAATAATTTTTGGCTATGTGACATGAGCAGGGCTAGTGGTAAAGAATATGTCTGCCGATGCAGGAAGCCTAAGAGATATGGGTTTGCTCCCTGGGTCAGGAAGCTCCCCTGGAGAAGGAAATGGCAACCCACTCCAGTATTCTTGCCTAGAGAAGCCTAGTGGGCTAGAGTCCATGGGGTCACAAAAAGCCACACATGACTGAAGCGACTTAGCACACATGACATGAGCACCCAATAGCTCAGGGAATAGAGCTACGTTATTCACAGAAAAACATTTTATCACATATCACAGAAAGCTGCAGCTGAAAGCTTACCAAATCATGCTTATCAAAAGTACTTTGGAGAAACAAATATGCGTGATGATTTAATTCAGTAGTGCAATCAGGAGGTATTTTTAGCCTGTTGATGAAAAAAAAAGTAAAATCATTAATCAAATATTAAAATTTAATTTGAGAAATGAATATGAAATTGCAACAAGTTCTTTCTGTAAGATGAAAGCACTTACAGAATATGTTTGCTGCAGCCATTTAGACTTTCCCAGGGGAAGTCACTGCATTGCTATGGTAATCCCCAGAAGAGCCACAGTAGTGCTCCTTCCAAGGTGACATATACACTTCCTTAACTATCTGAAGGGCAAGTTGTATTAAAAAATGTACAGGCAATACTGATTAAACTGTAATCAGTTTCTAGTAGTTTCTCCTACAAACTAACTGTAAGTCAAAATTATGAGCTTTACACAGTATCAACATTGTAATGAGTTGAAAATGATGTGAAGAGATGTTATTTCTGCCTGATTTGATTTTTGACCCACACTAAATTTGAATCAATAAACATTTATCAAATGCATCAAGATACTGGGGACATGAAAACATGACAGGCTCCCTACCTCTAAGGAACCACATTCAAGCTGGAGACAGAAGACAAGTAGATAATCTTACTATCTCAACAGAAAGAAGCAACCGCTGAGTGGGCAAACTACAGAAGCTAAGGGAGCTCTTGAGAAAGCAGACACCTTGGTGTGGGGATGGGAAGGTGTCAGCACTGCTGAGAGACACTGTCACTTGAACTGAGACTTGAAGGATAACAGACATGAATTAGGTTGGAGGGAGAAGGAGGAAGAGTAAAAATACCATGGGCAGAAGCCCAGGGTGGGAAATAATATCTGATTTGCAGACTAGAAGTAGTTTAGTATTTACTTCTAGAGTGAAGGCAGAGAGTGAGTCGGAGCAGAACAGATCATGAATGACTTTCTATACCCGGTTAAGAAGCTTCAGCTTTATCCTGTCTTGAAGGCAAAGTGACATCACAAAATCTGTGTTATGTATCTATCAGTATTAATTCTTGCCACAACGTGAAGGACGGGAGTAGAATTTAATGAGACTCAAGACGTGGCTCTAAAGGGGCTATTTTACAAAAAATTAAAGGTAGAGCACACAAAGAAATTAAAAGAGATTTCAGTGTAAGTCACAAAGCCATAAAAGATGGTGTTTCCTTACTGTCATTCTTTAGGAAGCAATAAGCAACCTTCTACGTTCTGTAGAATATACCTACCCACATAAATGGCACAGAAAAGAAAGCTTGATAAAAAGGACAAATGCATTCACTCCATACATATTTATTGAAAAATCTGGGAAATTACTTGAGCCAAGTTTGAATAACTTTGACAAGGGGAGTTTCAACTTAGAACTGATTAGTGGACCAGGAATCCAACCAGAAAGTCTTTTGCTTCCTCAGTGATGGGGAAGGAAAAAAAACGACAGTTTTTCTGAACCCTTACAAGGAGAGCTAGCAGTACCATGCTAAAATTAAAAAAAGGAGAACATGAAGATCATATGCTATTGAAAGAAGGAAGAAAAAAGGCAAAAGGCTCAAAGCCCAGATCCTGGGAAGTCACCTCCCTGAGAAGCCTACTTCCCTTGGGTACAGGAAAGGCATCCTACAGTAAGGCAGTCTCCTATTTCAGGATGATGCTGGGTTCATTGCTAAACAAACAGAGCTTAAACACATCACTATTTAAAGGAAAATAACCACAGAGAGACTGGTTGCTTAGGAAAAGTACTTTATCCTGAACTGAGAACAGGCTATAAAACTCAAAGAGGACAAAGACTAATGCTAAGAAAATGCTAACCAATGTATTTTTGACTCCTTTGATTCTAAAAACAAGTTCATCTAGCTTCTCTCACCTCCTTCCTCAATAAAATGAATTTAAAAGATAACTGTATTTCTCCATAAGAAGAGCAAGAGGCTGAGCCATGCTATAAATCAGTGGCTCTTAAGTGGGGATCATCTCACTCCCACGGGCACATTTCTGGCTGTCACGACTAGGGAGAGAGGTGTTGCTGGCATCTAAGGATGTGCTAATAAACATCCTGTAACGCATAGAACAGGCTCTACAATAATGAATTATCCGGTCCAAAATGTCAACAGTGCCGAGGTTGAGAAACCCTGCTATAAACGGCTCTATAAAACTAAATTATTCCCAAGTAGCTCAAAGCCTACTACCTACGTGCTAAATAAAACTTTAAAATACTGGCAAGTGAAATCAATTAGAAGCCAAAGGTACATACAAGGGGAATAAATATTCAGGTGTCAAATCCAGATCGTCATCATAACCAAATCGTCGAAGCACAGTCCAAGTAGTTTCATGTCTCCCTCTCTGAATAAAAAGTGTGTGTAAAAAAAGAAAACCTGAAATAAAATAAATTAGTAAATATAGCTGATGTGAAAATGGGTACAGGGTCACATGGGAGACAAGCATGTAACACACAATGGCAAGAGCTAGACTCACGAACACATGTGTACGAGCTGTGAATACTGAAGGTCAGATCAAAACCAAGTTCACGAGTGCCTCAAAGAGCTGATTTCAGAATCATTTCACATATACACCCAGGTCAGCAAAAGGTGGTACTGGATGAAAGGGCCAAAAACACATCCCAAGGTGTATACTGACATTCACAAAGTTATACTATAAAAACAAAAGAAATCATTTTCTACATCTGTATGCTTATTTCTGTAACAAGAAAATTGGTTTCTGATTTCACTGTGGCGCTATAACATATTTTACTTGGTACTTGGAACATTCGGTACTTGGTAAATTTGATTGGGAGATAGAATGTCTTCCTTAAAAATAATTTCTATTTAGAGGATGCTTATGAGTAATAAGAATTTTAAGATAAATTTGTTTCAGAATTCTTTTATCTTCAGAGGGAACTCTGCACTCCTGAAATCCAATAAATTTCCCTACCTCTAATTGATACTGACAGTGGAGGTAATTATCCCCACCGATGGCCTGCCTCTTCCAACTTTGAAACATCCAGGTTAGATTTTTAGGTACACTAGTAAATACAGACGTTTCCCTAAACATCTAGATAGCACTCTAAAGACTGTTGCCTGCTGTCCAACTTTTTAAAAGTTTGAAAGGGGGAGAAAAGCACCTTTCACCCACCTTTCAGTGTCAATCCACTGTCAGCCACACCATCACTTATATGTTTTCTGACCACATTTTTGACATCTTCCAGAGCTTGAGGGGCTAAGGGAGTGTTGAAACAAATTCTCTGGCAAGAGATATAAAAATAAAGTTGAAAACAAATCAGCATTAAAGTCACAAATATTAATCCACAGAGCAACATTAAGACAAAGAGTTGCAAGCAAAGGCAACAAATTCTGAATTAGGACAGCCTCTACTTTGTATTAAATAAAGCATGTCAGACCAAGAAGGGCATGTTTTCCCTACCTTCCCCATCGGGTTCCTAAAACACAGAATGCTTTGTTTAACTATGTTATACAAAACCGAGAAGGAAAAATAATTCAGAACTCAGACTTAAAGTCATTCTTAATACACCCATTGTACACTGTGAAATGACACTCTCTCAGAGTCCCCTCAACTCCTAAGCAAAAGAGATTTTATCCCATAGGTAGAGATTAAATAGCCTGATGTGAAAGAGAGATTTTACATGAGAGAGATCCATGTTTATCAAAATACCATTGGTCATGCCAATAAATTTTTTATAGCTTTTTCAGCCAAAAAAAAAAAATCAAGATATACAAATATCTGAAATAAAAGAAGGCTACCTGAAAGAAGTTGAGTTCAGCATCATTGAGTGTACCATCATTATCTTGATCGGATATTTTGAATATACGAGTAAGGGCTTTTATACAGGCTGGTTTCATCTGTAAATCATTGAGGAAAAATAAATTGTTTTAATGCAAATAGTTGGGATTTTAAAATACGACTTTCATAAATATACTGAGAATTCTGAATGTTTTCACTGTCAAATACATAACATCAAATATAAACAAAATGAAAAATTAACTAAAGTAAAGCCACTTTTATCCTCAAGCCACTTTAAGTAAATGCGACAATATTTACTTAGACCAATAACTGGAACAGTTAAACTCTCCCTTCATGACCACATACCTCTGAAGATGAGTGAAAGAGAAATCCATCTTTAGAAAAGTCATTCTTCCAGTCATTCAGAAGAAATGCCCTCTATCATTCCATGAGCTGACTTATAAAACTATAGCAAAGGCTTTTTTCTCTCAACTTCTCTGATTTTTTACCTTCTAGCAGCAAAATAGACCAATACTTTGGCCACCTCATGTGAACAGTTGACTCACTGGAAAAGACCCTGATGCTGGGAGGGACTGGGGGCAGGAGGAGAAGGGGACGAGAGAGGATGAGATGGTTGCATGGCATCACCGACTCGATGGGCATAAGTTTGAGTAAACTCCGGGAGTTGGTGATGGACAGGGAGGCCTGGCGTGCTGCAATTCATGGGGTCCCAAAGAATCAGACACGACTGAGCAACTAACTGAACTGAACTGAACAGCAAAACAGGACCAAATGTTTCGATCTGTAACTTGTGTTTATGTGTGTATGTATGGAAACTGGGATATAAAATGTACTTCTTCCCAAGAAGATGACAAAACAGCACTGGTTGATGTGCAAAAGTTCTTTTTTTCACTACTTGCCTATTATGAGATAAAAATTATATTTTTTAAAACAAGAACTTTGCCTTTTGTAACTCTGTAAAACTTTTTTATAAGAAAAGCTGCTGGAAATGTATTTCGACAATTTTTATTTTAGGATTTATAATGGATAGAACAAATATTTGACTATTTAAAATAAGGCCCATGTGCTTCTAATTTGTATAACTGCTATAGGAAAATCATGGTCAACAATTCTGAGAAAATAAAACTTTCAGGGAGATTTCTGAACACTGCAAATGTGGAGGGAGATATCTTATGGACATCTGAGTGCGAGAAATGAGATGGTGAAGTGAGAAAATGAATACTTGTTAGTTTATTTACTCCCATGATACAGCTATCCAGAGCAAGCAGTAATGATGAGTTTTGGTCACATTATCATAACAAACCTAAATGCATAAAATAATTTCTTTTAAAAATAGTAAAGAACAGTTATCTTCCAAAATATGCACAATTCCTCCTCCTCCTTTTTTTTTTGGTTTAAATAGGGGCTCTAGGAGAGCAATTTGATAGAGTAATAAAAAGCTGAAATCTAAGATATAAAGAGATTAGAAAGAACTGAGAAAAAGAAGTCAAACATTTAGGGAGCACGGTTAGGGATGTCTTTATAAAAGAATGCTAAATGGACTATAACCTATCACATCCATAATCATGAATAACTTTTTTTAAACATTTTTATTTTGTATTGGGGTATAACCAATTAACAATTTTGCTGATAGTTTCAGGAGAAAAGCAAAGGGACTCAGCCATACATATACATGTAATGGATAACTCTTTAAGTAAAAAAAGTTATTGCTTCTGTAAATATGATCCTAATATTAGATATTCAAGATTACTAAAGATCACATTATATTTTATTTCCTTTTCTTTTAAAAATCTGTTGCATAATAATCTAGATGTTTCAAAAAGGAGCAATAGGTAGAATGATGTAAAAACCAGAATCTAAAAATAACTTTTTATTTGCAAGTGTTTTTTCCTTATATCATAAAATGTTATGTTAAAAAAAGTAACTGAAGAAAAATAAACAGTGACGCATTTTTCATTAAAGCTTGAAATGCATCAGAAGCAAAAGTGCTCTAAGGTACTGGCTCAACATGATATTTAAATATTAACCATCTTAAAATACAACACAAAAAAATGACTACTTCTTAAACGCATTAAAAATTACACTTCAATAAAACTTAAAAATGTTGTTGTTTAGTTGCTAAGTCATGTCCAACTCTTTTGTGACCCCATGGACTATAGCCCACCAGGTTCCTCTGTCTGTGAGATTTTCCAGGCAAGAATACTGGAATGGGGTGCCACTTCCTTCTCCAGGGGATCTTCCTGATCCAGGGATCGAACTCATGTCTCTTTAACTGGCAGGAGGATTCTTTACCACGGAGCCAGAAGGCAAGTCCCACTCCTCTCCAAAAGAGACAAATTCTACAGTAATAAAAATAAACTCACTTTGCATATAAGTAATCTAATCCTCACACAGATCTGTTTCATTATTAGGTAAGCAGAAGACTCCAGAGGTCATACAGAGTCCATCAACCACTGGAAACATATTTCCAGTTCAGGCTTTAATTATCTTGATTTGACCTACCTACCTCAATCTATGTTAAAAGCTTATGAATGTTATCTAAATAAAAGATTCTATTGTAAGTTTAGACTCAAGGCTTCTACTTGTATAAATCAAGGCATATAGTCTCTAAAAGTTACAGATTCTACCTTAGGTAGGTCTGCCTAAGAAATGACTAACAGATGGTAGTAAGTGTTTATTAGGGAAGGGAGGATTAGTAGATTAGCAGAACTAATAATAGGCCTAAGAAAAAAGCAGCAATTAGAGAACTGAGAACAAACTAACAGAGGGGATTCAATATACTGCCAGGCTAAGCTCAGAGGTAAATCTCTATAGAACGAGACTACCTACTGGACCACTAGGAAAGTTCCAGAACCTGTATTTTTAACAAGGACACCTACTGACTATTATGAGGTGAACTTTGGAAATACTGAACCAAGGGCAAGTTAGAAAGAAACATTTCAATTAAGAATATAAACCAGGATTAAGGAAGACTAAATCAGGGTCAGATTAAGGGATAACTCAGATTAATATTTATACCAGAGGTCAGCACGTTTATGGTAAAGCAATTAATGAAGACATAATAATAATGTCTAACAATAAATAAAGACATAGCAAATACTTTAGGCATTGGGGACCAACAGGCAAAATCAAGGACATCATGTAGGTACTTAACACAGCAAAGAGATAACCAAATTTCCACAAAGTTTTTATTAATTAAATTTAAAATATAATAATAACTGAGTATACCTTTGCTCTATAGGTCTACTAATATTACAGAAGCATGGAATTCTTCTTGGAGGGATAACGATTGGCTTAGTTGGGGTTCAAAGTCAGTGTTCCCTATCTTGTAATAAACCATAATGGAATATCAGTTCAGCTCAGTCACTCAGTCGTGTCTGACTCTTTGCGACCCCATGGATTATATAATGGAATATAATCTGCAAAAAATCCTACAAAAACAAAAAGACCACTATGATACATACCCAAAACTAACCCAGTATTATAAATCAACTATACTTTAATTTAAAAAAAAGCTAGCTTTCCCTATCATGAAAATCAATTGCAGATATTCAGCTATTAATGCTGATTTGTAATGAGATTTCACATATTTCAATCTGAAAATGTCTTTTTGCACAGATAAACAATCCCAATAGTGACACTGATCCATAAACATATAACTTTCTTTGAAAACATTCATCACTTGGAAGGCATTTATAGAATTCTATTTGATTTTTTTCATGATATTTGCCTGTTAATCATATTAATCAGTTCCAACTGAAGGCTGGGTGGAACCTCCTCAACTGCATGGTCAAATGGATTAGGAAATAAGCAAACTTCCTTTGCATGTGCATCGAGGTCCAAAAAAAACTGATGCTGGAATTATAGCTCAGAAAATATATCTGTTCTGCCATCTGAAGATCCACTTTTTTTCTCTTCTTGTTTTGGCATCTGTATGTACTGGGTAATAAAAAAACAAAATGCTACTGTACAGAAGTATGTGGCACATGAGACGCTGCTGCCAAGTCTGAAGTGTGTCAGTGCAGTTCGCAGGGCATAGAGCAGTGGTGTGATGACAGTTACCACAGACTAGGTCTGCTGCAATCCCATGACTGCCTTCACAGCAGGAAAGCACAGACACACATGAGGGAATGAACATGGCTGCGCTACAATAAAACTTACCTATGAGCAATGAAATCCGAAGGCCATATAAATTTTCCCATATCTCAAAACGTTATTCTTTTTGACTTTTCCCCCAATCATTAAAAAATGCAAAATGTATCTTAGCTCACAGGCTATATAAAAGCAGGTGGCAGTCGACAGATGAATGGATAAAGTAGCTGTGGTACATATGTATGATGGAATATTACTCAGCCATAAAAAGCAATGCATTTGAGTCAATTCTAATGAGGTGGATGAACCTGGAGTCTATTATACAGAGTGAAAGAAGTCAGAAAGAGAAAAACAAGTATCATATACTAACACATATATATGGAATCTAGAAAGACGGTACTGATGAAATCATCTGCAGAGCAGCAATGGAGACACAGATGTACAGAACAGACTTATGGACGTGGTGGCGGGGGGAAAGGGTGGGATGTACGGAGAGAATAAGATGGAAACATACATGACCATATGTAAAACAGAGAGCCAATGGGAATTTGCTGAATGACTCAGGGAGCTCAAACCAGGGGTCTGCTGCAACCTAGAGAGGTGGGATGGGGAGGGAGGTTCAAGAGGAAGGGGGCATATATATATATCTATGGCTGATTCATGCTGATGCTTGGCAGAAACCAACATGATTCTGTAAAGCTTCAATTAAAAAATAAATTAAAAAAAAAAAAAAGCAGGTGGCAGGCCAAATTTGGCCCATGGGTCAGTTCTCCAACCATTCACCTATAGGACAAATTTTCCCTGAAAAAAATCTTTTCAGGAAGCTTTTTTCCCCCAGCAAACTTCTACTCTTTAAAAACTCAAAACAACAAAAGAAACAAATAACTAAGAGATGGATAAAATACTTAAACAGAACTTTCTCCAAAGGAGATACACAAATGGCCAATAAACACATGAAATGATGTGAAATATCAGTAGCCATCATGGAAATGCAGTTCAAACTCACATCTACCAGGATAACTACAAACAAAGGCCAGGGGGAGGATAACAGGTGCTGGCAAAGATGTGGAGAAACTGGGACTTTAATTTTAGTGGTCACTCAATATGACTAAAACATAGAATTACCATGTGACCTAGCAATTCCACTGCTAAACAGACATTCAAAACAGGGGTTCAAAATTATATGTGAGTGTTCTCAGCAGTATTCACAACAGCCAAACGGTGGAAGCAACCCAATTATCTACCAACAGTTGAATGGATAAACAAAATATGCTATATCCATACAATGAAGTGTCATTTGACCATAAAAAGGAATGAAGTACTAGTAATGCTTCAACATGGATGTATCTTGGAAACATTACACTACATGAAAGAAGCCAGACACAGAAGACCACATATTGTATGATTCCATTCATATGAAATGCCCAGAATAGGCAAATCCAGAGAGATAGAAAGTAGACTAGTGGTCGCCAAAAACTAGGGGAAGGGGGAGGAGGGAATGGGAGTAACTGCTAATGGGTACAGGGTTTCTCTGGGGGTGATGAAATGCTCTGAAACCAGACAGTGATGATGAACACACAACTTTGTGAATACACTAAAAATCACTGAAAAGAACAAAAAAGTGAACTTTATGGTATGTGAGTTATATCTCAATTTAAAATTTAATTTTGAAAGTCTATGGTGACTGGCAGTGGAAAGAACCAGAACGTGTGAAATTCCTTAAGTTTACTGACTTAAGTAATTTTGCCTGTTACAGGTAATTAAAAAAAAAAACACCTTTACACTTTGGCAGTAAAAAATTCTATGGTAAAATATTGTTAAATTTTAGATATTTCATTAAGGAATTACTGTTTCTAAGTGAAGTGAAGTCACTCAGTCATGTCCGACTCTTTGCAACCCCATGGACTGTAGCCTACCAGGCTCCTCTGTCCATGGAATTTTCCAGGCAAGAGTACTGGAGTGGGTTCCCATTTCCTTCTCCAGGGGATCCTCCCAACCCAGGGATTGAACCCAGGTATCCCACATTGCAGGCAGACGCTTTACCATCTGAGACACCAAGGAAGCCTAAGCTATGGAACAAAAGGGAGTATTCCAATTGTATTATATATTGTATCCATGTCAAATAATTATACAAGTTTTTCGACTGTATGTGTTACTAAGCTAGTGGATTTTCTAGTAGCAAAGCAAACAGACCATTAGTTAAGTCTTTGGACTTTCTGTTGTTTCGGTCGCCAATTCTTCTGTTTGTTTTAATTACATTTCTTAAAATAGTATTCGACCTGACATATTATTCTGAGCACTAAATCTGACTGTCTTTGAAGAAAAGTATCTAGGAAATTCAACAGCTTAATAAGCAGTAAGTGTAAATTCCAGCAGTAAGAGTCACTAACAGGCAGTACCATAACGGAGCTGCTACCTACAGACCCCAGTCCTTGCTAATGCGGTCTGATGAGTGGGGGTTTACCTCTTTCTCCTCTGGGCAGTACAGGGGCCCTGTGGGATGAAGAACTGCTTTCTGCGCGTAATAGAAGAGCTCTGATATGTTCTTCAGATTTTTTGCTGAACACTGAAAAGAAAATTTTAAATGTTTCACTCAAAGCAACTCAGAGAGAGAGAGCTAAAAACATTAAAAAAAATTTTTTTTAACTATCAAGATTCCTTGAAGAAACTGAAAAAATGCATTTTTCTTACTGAATATCACCATATGACTGTCTACAAAGAGCTCAGAGGCCAATCCCAAGTTCTCTGTTTTATTTGATTTACATGACTTCACAAACAGGAAATTTATTCCACCCCACATCTTCCCCCATCTCCTATTCCGAACCTCAATTTAGTGAGAATTCACCAACCATAAATTTCAAAATCAAATGAGAAGGCATACCTCCACACAGGTTTCTATTTCTGTGTATTGGTTCATAATAGGAAGGATGGTCTCCATACTACTATATTCCACCAGGTCAGATTTGTTGCCAACCAGTATCAAAGGCAGCCTGAAATAAACAGGGCACATGGTAATAATAAGGAAGGCAAAAGACATGAGATTTTATTTTAATGTACATTGTAACCTGGTAAAGTACAGTGATGAAGTAATTGAAGAGGGCTAACTATACACAGTAATCAGGGAACAATCCCTCTGACAAGGTGGCATTTGAGTCAAGAAGTGAAGGATGAGATGGAATCCGTCAGGTGAAGAGCCTGGAAAGAGCTGGCTGGGACAAGGGGACAGCATGTGGAAAGGCCCCAAACTGAAGAAATATCCCCATGAGTCCGGAGAACAGAAAAATGCCAGAGCGGCTGAGGAGTACTGGTCAAAGGGGAAGACACATGAAGTGGAGCTGGAGAGAAGAGCAAAGGCCAGATGTAAAAGGACTTTACAGCTATAGTAAAGAGAGTGTGTTTTAAGTGTAAAATGGGAAGCCACAGAAGGGTTATAAGTAGATGAATGACATGATCTGATAGACATTTTCAAATGCAGTCATTTGTTATCTTTCAGAGATACATATCGAAATAGTTATAGTATGGTATGATGTCTGATTTGTTCAAAATGATCCCAAAGAGAGGTGTAATAAATGAAACAACACTGGCCATGAGTTGTTGATTGTTGAAGCTGGATGATACAGAGGGATTCATTATACTGTTCTACTTCTCAATATATTTGATTTTTTTTCAATAATAAAAAAGTCCTTTTAATGTGGTATCCTGGATTAGTGTAGTGAAGACAGAGGAAATTTTCAGATTTGAGATATATTTTTGAACTAGAACAGATAGGAGCAATGGTAGATTAGATATGGAGATTGAAGGAAAACAGAAATCAAGAAAAGTACATAGATTTTTTTGGCTGGACGAAAGATTTTTTTTTTTCCATTTTTAAAGTTTTAATTGAATTTGTTACAATACATTGCTTCTGTTTTATGTTTTGGTCCTTTGGCCCAGAGGCATGTGGGATCCTAGTTCCCCATGCTGGAAGGTGAAGTCCCAACCACTGAGCCGCCAGGGAAGTCCCCAAAATGAACAGATCTTTTGAGACAGAAAAGATTGAGAAATCTGGGAGTGGGGGCAGCAGGGAATAGGCAGGGAATAAAGAATTTTATTTGCAATAAATTAAATCTGAAAGGCCTATCAGAAATCTGAATGGGGATTACCAAGGAGAACTAGCCCAGAGGAGAACAATTATTTGTACAACCCACAAGAGAGCTTAAAGAGAAGGCAAATCATCTAGCTGGGATTCCAGCTTGTAAAAGAAACACTCGCAGGCACTCATTTAACCACCTAGTGTGGTTATTATGTGTAAAAGGACTGGCCCACTACATAACCCAAACAGAGATTGTTAACAGAGCCAGGAGAGTTCCCCAAAATGCACTGCTTTACAACCAAAGGTGTGCTCAGAATAATTTACGGATCTTAGAAAAAGAAAACACACAAGTCCAAGCCCTACTCCAAATGTACTAACCCTAGAACTCAAACAGTAGCGCAAAGGCGTCCACGCTGTTGTGAGGTGCCTCAGGTGACAGTGATGGGCACACCTGACTAAGGACCGCCGTGATAAGGGTCCACAGAAGTCCCAGATAAGAGCAGATGTGTAACAGATATAAACCTAAGGTATGAGGCCCGGGAAAGAAGGTACTGGGGAAATGTGAAGTCCATACATTAATGAAATAGACCACCTTGGAACAAATCAACCATAAGAGAAATAAACATGCTCCTATGACTCAGGGAAGGGTAAGGGTACACCCACACCTGAGAACGTTCAATGAGATCTAATTAGATCTCAGTAGACCTCCCCAACACTGAAGGCCACTTTAGACGGCGCACTAAATGGGGCAGGAGACAAGCCAGCTAGTTTCTAGAGAGCAGTTTAGGAAGCTCTCATGGTAGAGTTAATTTTAAAAATTCAGCTGTTCAAGTTAGTGCTTCATAGATCCTGGCAAAATTGACTTCTCAGAAGAGTCCTCAAAACAGTTCAAGAAATAAGCAAGAAAAGCAAGTGTCAGGAGCATAGAGGCATTGTTTCCTCCAAGGAAGTCCGGTCCAATACAACCTCTATGATGACAGAAATGAACTTTATTTGTACTTTCCATTACCCTAACCTCTAGCCACAAGTGCCTATCAAGCACTTGAAATGTGGCTGCATCTGAGGCAACGAATTTTTAGTTTTATTTAATGTTACTTAAAGTTAAATTGCCACAACTGACTAGAAGCTACTGCACTGGACAGTATAGCTCTAGAGAGCTCCTTTCAGCTCAGTCAGTACGTCATTACAAAGTGACTTTAAAACAGTGACAATGACTGTGCTCTTACATATTTCACACGGTGAACACTCAGTGACTGGGGTAATGCCAGTCCTCAAAAGGGCATCTCAAGAGAGAGGGCACCTTACAGTTTCAGAGCTCTGTTTTCTGCTCTGCTCTCAAATATGTATGTGGCCTCAAGCAATTCCTCTCCGATAAAGGTGTGTGTGTATAAACAGACCTGTTAGATAAAGCACATATGGCAAACTGTTCACTAGTAGATCTAAGTGAATAGTTTACAGATGTTCATTGCACTATTTCTTGCGACTTTTCTCTAAGTTTGAAATTTTTCAATATACAAAGTTTGAGAGAGAAAAAAGTACCTGCTGTCTTTGTCTGTTCTTTCATTTATGAGAGGAATCCATCGACTTGTTACCTAAAATGAAAATTAAAAGTAGTTAAGGCCAAATGGGGATCTCCCGTGAAAACACTCTACCCTAGGACTTCTAAAATTCTAAATTGAGGATCAATTTTTAAAGCGTCCCCACTGAAATTTAACAAAGTATAGTGAAAAAAGTCACACAGTCATACCTTATCAATGGAATGCTTGTTGTTAACAGCATAAACTATGCAGATGACATTAGCCTATAAGAAAAATTAACAAATCGATGGTATTTTAAAATAATACAAATGTAGCATTTAATTACCAGCTAGTTAATGTATTTCAGTCAAACAAAGAAAAAAAATTTGAAAATTAAAAACTTAGCATGCCTCTAAGAGCAAAGGATTTACGGCAAAAATACATACTCAAAGTCAGCAGCGACAGTAAAGAACTAAAAAAGCCCTCTCTGCGAGAGAAGGAAATGGCAGGCACAGGATCATCATTGTTCTCCCACAAACAAACCTAGAACTATTTTTTTTAACTCACCTGTGATATTTCTTGATGAAGCTGTTCATCACTCTGTTCTGCTTCTACAAATGACAAAGTCAATTTTTTTTCATATTTTAAACACTTTCATAAAAATGAATGAACAACCAAGCTAAAATCCATCTGACATCCATGTAACATCCCTCAAAGCCTCCCTCACCCCTCATGTCATTTACAAGATGTACTTCCAGACAAGTGGCAAAGAAAAGGCAAAGCCAGAGAAAGGAAAGAATGGAACTATGATAAGGAAGTTGGCTGGCACCGAGAGACAAGTCTACACAGGGATAAGTCAGGCAGGGAACAGCACAGGGCACTGTGTGATAAATCTGGGCCAGCATCTGACCCAAAGCTGAGAAGGGCCTGGCAAAAGAGATCAGAAACTCTAGCTAGAAGACTGAGTACTAAAGTCAGAAGCCCAGACAAAAAGTCTACACACACAGGGTCAAAAAGCCAGGTGAGAGTCTGGGAAATACAAGCTTAAGATCTAGAAAGCCCATAGAAGTAATCTTTTTTTTTTTTTCCGATAGAAGTAATCTTAACCAGGCCCCAGAGGCAAAGCCAGAGCATGATAACGAAAAGTCAAGCATTCCCTCACTCGCCCATCTCTCTGGCTAGAACTGGCCTCATGGAGGGATATGCCTATAATCCCACAGGTGCAGGGGACGGGCATGGTACATAGCTAGGAGAGAGAGGAGAGAGAAGTAAACAAATGGAGAGCAAAGCAATTATTGGTCTATTAGATCACTTTGCGTTAACTGCTTCCCCTCTAAATGTTATTTCTGACATACAAACTAATGTTACACATGAGTACAATGGTATCTCAATTAATGCTAAATAACTGGCCGTATTTCAAATATCTTCTCATAAGTTGAATAATCAAGCAGTTAAAGCTTCAATTGTAATACTGAAGTGAATCTAAACATGTAGCTACACACACTGAAAAAGAATACTCCTATACATAGAGCTAGTTATGAGACTGACTCTAGCAGGGAGCATCCAACTCCCCTCAGCTTCTAGTACAATACTGTCCAACAGAAATATGATATAAACCATACAAGGAATTTTAAACTTTCTAGTAGTCACCTTAAACAAAGTAAAAAGAAACAGGTAAAATGACTTTTTAATTTAACCCAAAGTATCAAAAATACTAAAATTTCAACATATAACCAACAGAAAAATTATGAGATACTGTTCTTTATTTCATACTGTCTTCTAAATCCACTTATATTTTATACTTAGAGCACATTTCAATTTAGACTAGACACATTTTAAGTGTTCAAAAGTCACATGTATTAGACTGTACAGTTCTAGTATTTCATTTTTAGAATGGATAGTATACCAGCTCAGCACAACAAAGTATTACCAATGTGGTTATACATATTTTTAAAAATAGATTTCATTTTTCAGAGCAGTTTTAGATTCACAGCAAAACTGAGTGGAAGGCACAGAGATTTCCCATATACCTCCTGATTTCATATACAGTTTCCCCCATTATCAACAGCCCTCATCAGAGGTACATGTTAAAACTGACCCTTCCTTTACAAATGAAGTTCCAGAACAAAGCAAAATAATTTAATGATTAAAAAGTAAGTAGTATTGTGCAGAAAAACTTTACATTATTAAAAACAATATAGATGTGCTTCCATTATCATTTAACGTAAGCAACCTGTCTTAACTTTTTCTTTTTTTTAGGACAAACTCTGACAAATTAAAAAACAAAGTTAGAACTCAACAAATTTTCACATGAGAACTCTTTCTACATCACCAGAGCATACCTGAATGCCTGATAACAAAATAACAGAGAACTCTCTGCAAATATGCTAATTCAAGGAGGGTTATGATTTATCTAGTCATTTGCCATTCCCCTTTCCCTTTCATTATTATGGAACCCAACTTAGTAAATTAGGGACAGAGTACTGCAAGGTAAAGGGTTTTTGTGGGGTGTGGGATGAGACAAGAGTAAATGATCATTTACTGCGAGAAAAAGAGACATCCCTCCTAAAACATTTTTTAATGCTTAGTAAGTATCTTTTTAAGGACTTTTAATTTAACTCTACAGCTTCACCTGCAAGAAGACATTTACTACCTGAGTAATCTACAATGTGCGTTGGAACTCTCTCAGGGGTAACATCAGCTGGAATGGTGATTTCTTCTGCCCGGGGAGGAACCTTCATTTGCAAACAAATGTAAAAGAAGGAAAAACCTTTGAATATCAGCAATCAAACTTTTTAGTAGATTATGTAAATTCATGCATAATTAGCCCTTTCACCCATGCTTACCTTTACAGGTATTTACTATAATTTTAAATGTTTATTTTTGTGCTTTACCATAGATGCAAATACACATTAAAGCTATGACAAAACACTTAAAAAAAAAAAAAGGCACATTTATACCTGTGTGGGCACAGGACATATTAAGGATACTTTAGCTCCCAAAACAATACTTAAAAATTAGATTTCTAAAATGTAGTTTTCATTCTATTTTGTTGAAGGCTTAAGATATTCTGCAAGTGAAGACCTATCCTCAAGTGTTAAGATTCCATGCTCCTGTCTTCTCCAACCACCATCCGGCAGGATGGCATCCACACAAAGAAAGACAGCTAGAAGAAGGGCTGATCCACCATCAGTGAGCTGGGGATCAGGAGAATACACTATCAACATTCATGTGCATCCATGCAGTGGGTTTCAAGAAGTGTGTCCCTCAGGCACTCAAAGAAATCCAGAAATTGGCCATGAAGGAGATGGGAACCCCAGATGTTCGCATTGACACAGCTCAATAGAGCTGCCTGGGCCAAAGGAATAAGGAATGTCCCATAGTGGATCCGTATGCAGCTTTCCAGAAAACGAAATTAAGATGAAGACTCACCAAACAAGCTCTACACTTGGGCTACCTACGTGCCTGTCACCACTCTACAGACAGTTAATGTGGATGAGAACTGCTGATTGTCCAATAAAGTTATTGAACCAAAAAAAACACAACCCAAAAACATTCTGCACTCCCAATGCAGGAGGTACAGGTTCCACCCCTGGTCACGGAACTAAGATTCTGCATGCCACTCAGGGTAGCCAAAAAAAAAAAAAAAAGAAATCCTCAAATAAATTAATAAATTATCAAAATTTATCTCTTCTAGAAGATAACTGTTTGGCTATATAATCCTTAAGCATAATAACACCATTATTAAAAAAACTCCTTATCCACACCCAAAAGGACTATGATAAAATGACAATTCTAAACTAAGTTAAAATATCACAAAAAACTTTTAGGTATTATACTGTAAGTGATCATAACTAATGTTGCTGATTTCACAAACCACATATGATAATACACTCCACTTTTCAAATTAAGTTATGATTTAACTATCTTATTTAAGAGAAAAAAAGTGAAAGAAACAATGGTCACATGACAATTGTAATTACTGAAATAACTACCACATAATACATTAAATTCCTCTCTGAACAATGAAATTGCAGATATTCCTAATTAAACAAAAGTAAATAAATGATAAATGCAAACCATGACGCTAATAATACGTATTACATGAAGAAAGAAAATAAAAAGAAATAATCTTTATCTCATTTGCATTGATCCCATTCCTCATAACAATATCTTTACATAATGCTTTAGGCAACTGTTCACCATACTGGATCTTCCAACATGTAAATAGATACACTGCCAGCAAAACCAAAACCACCATGCTTTTGGTGGTATTTCAGTAAGTTTATCTCATTTGAGACCCACAACAATTCTTCGAGGTGGGCAAGGTGGAACGAATTAGATTTTTTATTTGTAAAATGATGTAGGTAGATAACATTTGAGATTTTCAAACGTGTATCAGAATCCTAGTGCCTCTAATGATGTCTCAAAGACTGGGGAGAGTCAGACAGAAGGCAGGTGGGGAGCCAGACATTTCATCCTTACTTCAACTAAAGGAATACTCATCTGTTCTTTATTTGGGGCTTATAAAAACATTTTATTTTTAAGAAAGAATTACACAGCTTAGATGATCCCTAATATCCCTTTCAGTTCCCATTTTACAGATGAGACAACTAAGACAGAGAGATGACATATGTCCTAGCCAAGGTCAAAAGTAAGAAACACAAAGGCCTTATGTGAACTCAGAACTGGTTTGACTCTTTCTCCTATATTTCAGAGATGTCCTGTAAAAACTAACATGAGCTTTTCTAAAAAGTCATTAACTATCAGAAAGGAAACACATGCCAAAAAAAAACCTAAAATGTATTTCATTTAACTCAGTTTTGATAAAAAAATTTAAATGTAGAAAAGAAATCACAATGCCTACCTCTTCTGGGAATTCTTCACTGACTAGAGACATAATCAGTGATGTCTTCCCAACTCTAGCTGTGAAAAGAAAAAAGGATTACTTTAATAAGGTATTCAGATTCTAGAAAGCTCAAATTTAGCAACCACACAGCGAAGTCTGTTATTTGTTACCTAAAATCAGAGGATCAGAGGCATCTAAATTACCAATTTTCAGTACATCTTTTTTTTCTGCTTAGAAAAGTTACACATGTTCACCATTTAAAACAAAAAATTACTAAAATATATAGTATAAACGTAAAATCTCCCCTAGTATCCCCCATAAACTGTTTAATATGTGTAGTCTCCCAGATCTTCCCACACTCATATTAACATATTATAATAATTTACCACAGTAGAATCAGAGTATTTATACTATTTTACAATTTTTATCACTTAATTATGGACAGTATTCCATGACAATCTTTAAAAATCTCCCAGGAGAGGGAAGAGAAAGTTATTATCTAATAAATAACAGAGTTTTTGTTGGTGCTGAAGAAGTTTTAAATGTAGAAAGTGGTGATGGTTACACAACATTGCAAACATATTTAATGCCCTTGAACGGAATATTTACTAAAGGTAAAAATGTTATGTTGTTTTGTATATTTTATCACAATTTTTAAAAGCAGTAATAATAATGCATTTTATATTAACATTTAAAAAGCTTCCTACATTATTTTTTGATAAGAGTATAAGAATCCAGTGTGTGCATCCCAGAATTTTAGAAATAAAAGCAAAAATAAACAAATGGGACCTAATGAAACTTAAAAGCTTTTGCACAACAAAGGAAACTATAAGCAAGGTGAAAAGACAGCCCTCAGATTGGGAGAAAATAATAGCAAACGAAGCAACAGACAAAGGATTAATCTCAAAAATATACAAGCAACTCCTCCAGCTCAACTCCAGAAAAATAAATGACCCAATCAAAAAATGGGCCAAAGAACTGAACAGACATTTCTCCAAGGAAGACATACAGATGGCTAACAAACACATGAAAAGATGCTCAACATCACTCATTATCAGAGAAATGCAAATCAAAACCACAATGAGGTACCATTACACACCAGTCAGGATGGCTGCTATCCAAAAGTCTACAAGCAATAAATGCTGGAGAGGGTGTGGAGAAAAGGGAACCCTCTTACACTGTTGGTGGGAATGCAAATTAGTACAGCCACTATGGAAAACAGTGTGGAGATTTCTTAAAAAGCTGGAAATAGAACTGCCATATGACCCAGCAATCCCACTTCTGGGCATACACACCGAGGAAACCAGATCTGAAAGAGACACGTGCACCCCAATGTTCATCGCAGCACTGTTTATAATAGCCAGGACATGGAAGCAACCTAGATGCCCATCAGCAGACCAATGGATGAGGAAGCTGTGGTACATATACACCATGGAATATTACTCAGCCATTAAAAAGAATTCATTTGAATCAGTTCTAATGAGATGGATGAAACTGGAGCCCATTATACAGAGCGAAGTAAGCCAGAAAGATAAAGACCATTACAGTATACTAACACATATATATGGAATTTAGAAAGATGGTAACGATAACCCTATATGCAAAACAGAAAAAGAGACTCCGATGTATAGAACAGACTTGTGGACTCTGGGAGAAGGCGAGGGTGGGATGTTTCAAGAGAACAGCATCGAAACACGTATATTATCTAGGGTGAAACAGATCACCAGCCCAGGTTGGGTGCATGAGACAAGTGCTCGGGCCTGGTGCACTGGGAAGACCCAGAGGGATCGGGTGGAGAGGGAGGTGGGAGGGGGGACCGGGATGGGGAATACATGTAAATCCATGGCTAATTCATTTCAATGTATGACAAAAACCACTGCAATGATGTAAAGTAATTAGCCTCCAACTAATAAAAAAAAAAAATTAAAAAAAAAAAAAATCCAGTGTGTGATATGTCATAATTTATTAATGTAATCCCCTAATGATGAACAGGGCTGCAATGTTAATTTCTACAGGATAAGTTCCTAGAAGAGGAACTCAAGTTAGCACGCATGATCTTTTTGCTTTTAATAGACACTGTTCTATCATTGCCAAAAAAGAATTTACATCATTACCAACAGAAGATCAGAGTGTCTATTTCTTCACATCTCTACATCCTTTCTAAGGTATCATATTTAAAGGGTTAATAAGAACAAAGAAACTTTCCTGTTACATTTTCTAACCTCACAGGTTTTTTAATGTACAAACTTAAATTCTTAATTTTCTTTCTGAAACTTGACTTTCATTCCCATCATTTTCTGATCATATGATTACTATTATTAGACATTCAAATGCTTATCAACTAAAATCCTTCTGTGATTCGAAACCAAAACAGTCCACCCACCTGTTGACCTCTGCTGTGATAGCAAACTATAGTTTTCAAAAGTCTAAATATAAAAGAGCCGGAAAGTGTTAAAGTCAAGGAAAGTCACATTCCTTTGCTAAATAAGTGACTAAAAGAAAGTGTGACTAAAACTACAGGTCAAGTCTGTGGAAAAATGATGACTGGCTGGCAGGGAGAGTAGTGGTGAGAACAACTCAGAGGGCGTGCTGCAAACAAGCGGCTACAGCTGGTAAAGGGCAGTCCAGGTGCTTAACAGGCATCTTCTGGCTCTTGACTCCTCAATCCTTTCAATTTACATGTGTGAGAAGGCTTGGGCCTTCTTCAAGGGGCTGACAATAAGGTAACATTTCCCTGAGTCAGAGAATCTGGAGCCCATCATCAGAGAACTGCTAGGAGCCAGGTACTGAAGTCAACTTATCCAGCTCCCCACAGAAATTTCAGATGAAGAGTCTGGGACCCAGCCACAGTGATTTTTTCATGGTCTCACTAGAAGACTAGTTACAGACCTGGGAGAATAACCCATTTTAACACGTTAGTAATACAGAAAATGCATGATGATCCCCAAAGTCAGTGAGCACTGCATACACAAATACTACGTAAGTTAATTAAAATAATTCACTGATTCACTGGTGACTAAGCCAGCAGCTCTGGCTCTTTTTATTTTTAGAAAATTCCAGATGTACAGAAAAACTGCAAAAATAATTCAAAGGAGCCATGTCTATCCTTTAACCAAATTCCCCACATATTAGCATTTAACCATATTTGCATTATTATTCTCTCTCTATATATATAATATACATATAAAATTTTTAAAAAAAATTGAGAGTAAATCACAAACATGATGCCCCTTTACCCTGAAGCACACCAGTATGTATTTCCTAGAAACAGTATCATTCTCTTACATAACCACAGTTAAATCAAGTAATGTCAAGATCAGGAAATTAACACCCAAAACAGTGCTATTATGTAATCTATAAACCTTATTCATGTCTCACTATTATCCGTTATAGAAAAGAAAAATCTTTTCTGTCCAGAATCAAACGTTCCATTTGGTTGTCATATCTCTTTAGTCTCCTTTAATCTGGAGGCTTTCCTCCATCTTTATCTTTCATGACCTTCACATTTCTGAAGACTAAAGTCATTTATTCTGTAGTCTCTCTCTCAACTGGGTCTGTATGATGTTATCCCACGATTAATTTCAGGCTCTGCTTTTTTTGCAGAATATGCAAGAAGTGATAATGTCAATTTGTCCCATTACTGTGATGTTCGCTGTCATCACTTGGAGGAGGTGGTGTTAGGTTTCTCCAGTAAAGTTATTTTTTTCAAATTAAAAAATATCCTATGAGGAGGTACTTTGAAACTATGTAAATGCTGTGGTTCTCATCAAACCTTTGGCTATTAGGTTTAGCAGCCATTCAAGCTTCTTGCCTAAAACAAGTACTGCTATCGTGGCTGCTAGATGGTGATTTTTTATTTCTATCTATTCTCCTGTATTACTTTGCATTCTCCTGTAAGAAAAAACTTTCCCTTCTGTTTCTTATGAGTGTGGTCTCATGGATTATTATATTACTCTATGCGTTATAATCCATTACAGTCATTATCTGGAGGCTCAAATTGTTTCATTTTATTTAAAAAAATGGCCGTTAGGCCAGTATATATCACCATGAACAATATGATTTTTTTCTTTCCTTTATTATTAAAAAATGGAAAAGTTTCAGAGTTAGTGACAACAGTGTAATCGGGTATGTGAACCCATCACCCAACCTCATCTCTTTTCCATATTCTCTCTTGTCCTTCCCCATGAATTATTTTGAAGCAAGTCTCAAATACGTATCATCTTCACCAAGTACAATATGATTTTATAAATATGTATAATTTGGGGGACTAGAAAAAGTCAACACTTTCAGGGAGATAATAATACCATCTCTTCAAGGTTCCAGTAAGAATTAAACAACATCACATATGTACAAGTGCTTAGCAGAGCACCTGACCTATCACTGTCTCTCAATAAATAAAGGTTTTAACTTTCCTTCTTCAAAAACAAAAGTCACTTTGGTGGTAAAAACTGTCACATTCTAAATTTACAGATGGCAACTGAAATTTACTTCAACTTTGACATGTCAAATGCATTCCTGCATCCCTTCTATGCATTTATTGAGCACTTCTACACTCAAGGCACTATTCCAAGTCAGGGGGATACTACTGATCAAGGCATTATGTTTCCCCAACTTTTATATTCATGGAGATTATATTCCAATGGATTTATGAGATTTTCACCAACAAGGAACACTCTTTCTACACATCAGGATAAAAAGCTAAAATTCAAAAAAAAAAAAAAAAGCATAACCATCTTTGCCTACCCCCTTCTCTGTACTGATCATTCAAGTTCTGTCAAACTTCCTCTGACAGTTTTAATACTCATTCCTTCCTCTGTTCCCAGTTTCCCCTAAATATAGCACCTTTACCAAAACATTTCCTAGTTCACAACTTTCTACCCCCTTATCCTGTCTCTCCTCTCATTAATATATCAGTAATACAAATGCTAATACATCTTTCTTGCACCTTCTTTACATTTCCTAACTCACCTGATCAAAAGCCATCCCTGACTCTCAATTACCTACCGCATCAAAGTGTTGCTATTCTACTGGCCTTTGAAAATCATAATTTAACCCCAGATCATCTATCTGTCTTTCC